GATTAAATAAACTTGATTCAATAGAAATATAAAAACATAAATGATCAAATCATTTCTCAAAAATCAGCACTAAAGCTGCTGCCCAGGATGGTCCATATTGGGTGCTGTGCAGCCAGCAAGGGACATGATGTTGCCATCGGTGGAAGTTTGGAGGAAAAAGGAGATGAGAGAATGATGGGTCTGGTAGATCATGTAACAGAAGTAATATGTGAACTTGGGATCTGAACTGTTGTTTTACCCACCCCGTATGGTGCAGTCTGGCGATATTGCTTGGGTGATCTTTTCTTAAAGAAGGATATGCGGGGGTGCAAAGGAATCATTGTGCTTCATTCTTGCAACATGAGAGAAAAAGCTGATGATCTGAGAGGGGGAAAGGCTCCGGGGGGCAGTTTTGGGGAAAGGGTTGTAAAATATCAGTGAGATCCTTAAAATCTGCAGTCGCTGTTTGTGGACAATAGCGTCCATCCCACGTGATCTAGCTCACAATACATTACTCTCATGAGATCCACAAATGACCCTCTCCTGCCTCCCTCCCGGTGCATGAAGGACCCAACTCCAAACAGACTTTGTACTTGGACCTGCTGTCCAGCCAAATCTCTCTGGGAGAGGGATGGGATTTAATTAAGTTAAAAGACATGTATATCTTTTTAAATGCTGATAATGGAAGTGCTATCTCTTTGTATAGCTTTATCTACATTAACACTCAGTTGATTTTTTTAATATAACAAGCTCTTGACTTTAGGAAGCTTCTGTGTCTGGAATGGAAGTTTTGGTACTTTAGAATGTTACATTAATTATTAATGTGAGTGGGAATCATGTTCTGTAGCATCCCTTACATTTAAAAAAATCAATTAATTATTGCTATAAATCTCTGAGATTATGCTGCAGTCGTATTGCTGGGAAATTGGCCATTAACTACCAGGAAATCGCCTATTTTCCATCAGTCAGAATTCAGTTGTACCAACACAACCCTTTTCTTTTTATAAATTAACTATCAATGTGATGCATAATTGATAACCATTTATAATAATAACAATAATCTCCATGAAATTGTCATCTTGGTATACAGCAGATTTGTTAGAGCCTTTACCCCACTCCCTTATTTTCACCCTAGCTTACTGCATGCGTTAACTATTAATAGCCTGTGTTTTCTGGGAGATTGTTCCCGCACTGATCTTTTTAATTTTATTTTTGGGGGGGGGTGCGTAAGCTTAGTTGTTGGAGATGAAGGGGTAATATATAAGATATATTACAATACTTTGCAATTAATTATATGAAGATCTCAAAGGGCTTTACAAAGGTGGGTAAGTGTTATCTCCTTTTCACAGAAGGGGAAACAGATGCACAGAGAGGTTATGTATATTGCCCAAGGAAAGCTGCTTGACATCACCCCTATGTTTTCTAATCTCCAGACCCCTATGTTTACCATGGTCCTTGTCACTTTGTATCATAAGACACCATTACTTATAGTTGTATGTATTGTGTTGTTAAACTTATGTATTTCACACCAACAGTGTGCAACGCTACCGACAATGGAATAGAGGGCTTTCCGTAGTACTTATTAGATGAAAATAATTCCCTTCCTCTGTTGTATTGTGGTAACCTTGAATGAATGGTGCACAATTTGAGATTCTCTCCTTTTTTTTGTTTGATTGTTTTAACCTTTTATGGTGCTTTTCCTTAATTGTGCCCCAGAAAGCTGAAAGTTGGCAGCTCCATACTGATTGCTCTCTGGTAAAGAGTTCCTTGCTGTAGTAGCCTTTTGCTACCAGTATGTGGCATTAAATCAATGTGCAGCTTTGCTACCCTCTGCTCCAGGGGTGGGCAAATTACAGCCGACGGCCCACATCCGGCCGGTCAGACCTTTTAATCTGGCCCTCAAGCTTCCACTGGGGAGCGGGGTTGGGAGCTTTCTCCGCTCCAGTGTTCCAGCTGGGGAACGGGGTCAGGGGCTTGCTTCTCTCCACTCCATGCTGCTCCCGGAAGCAGGAGCAGCCAGGGGGCTCTGCATGCTGCCCCCGCCCCAAGCACCGGCTCTGCAGCTCCCATTGGCTGGGACCTGTGGGGGCAGTGCCTGCAGATGGGGCAGCACTCAGAGCGGCATGGCCCCGCCTCTGGAGGGGATATGGGCCTCTGTTTCCAGGAGCTGCTTCAGGTGAGCGCTGCCTGGATCCTGCACCCCTAAGCCCCCCTGCGCCTCAACCGCCTGCCACAGCCCTGATTGCCCTCCAAACCCTTTGATCCCAGCCCGGAGCACCCTCCTGCACCCCAAACCTCTCATCCCCAGCCCCACCCCAGAATCTGCACCCCCAACTGGAGCCCTCATCCCCCCCATGTGCCCCAATCCCCTGCCCCAGCCAGCCCTCTATACAATTTCCATACCGAGATGTGGCCCTCAGGCCAAAAAGTTTGCCCACCCCTGCTCTACTCATTGCCTTTAGTTTCAGTGAAGTGCCCTGCAAATCCTTGTTTGGTATAGCTCATGTGTCCCTGCGGCAGCAAAGTAGGGAGGTTTGTTAAACTCACTAAGAATCCAGGGAAACCTAAAGTGGCTGTTCCAGAAGGTATCTCCAATGCCTACACCAGTGTGCTGTTGAGAGCTACTGTGATCAGATGGGGTACACCCTCTTGCTTGTCTTTGTGGGTGTTTTCTAAATGGCCCTGCATCTTTGTCTCTTGAGCCAGACTCCTTCAAGTACATAGAATCTTGTGATTAGACTTGTATCTTTATAGTAGTTCATGATATAGTGTGTGACAGGTGGATCTTAATGGTATCTAAACCAAAAACTTGTTAGTGCTTCCATCATTATGTGTATGTACATACAAAGGCAGCTCTCCTCACTGTCTCTCCACCTTCATTTCACCCACCAAAGATGATCTTGAATGAAAGATGTTGGCTTGGAACATAAATTCCTTCCCCCACAAAAACTCTTCCTCACCTAAAAACATTAATAGTAGACCTCACAGGCTTGCACTGGTGACTGGAAGACCAAGTAGGTCGGCATAACACAAGTCAAGGACGCTATATCAAAATCTAGCTCATGTTCATCTACCTTCCCCCTAGCACTCAAGGCAGGATGGGTTAACACTGAATTACTGGGAGTATAGTTTTACTTAGTAAAATTTTAATGCTGGTGGTAGACAGTTGCTGGAAATCAGCATGAGCTCTTTTCATTTATTTCCCAATTCAGTTAACAACTAGGTGCTGCTTGCTCTGAAAACCAAACTCATGTCATCCATTTGCGGACAATACCAAGCTGGGAGGGGTTGCAAGTGCTTTGGAGGATAGGATTAAAATTCAGAATGATCTGAACAAACTGGAGAAATGGTCTGAAGTAAATAGTATGTAATTCAATAAGGACAAATGCAAAGTACTCCACTTAGGAAGAAACAATCAGTTGCACACATACAAAATGGGAAATGACTGCCCAGGAAGGAGTACTGTGGAAAGGGATCTCGGGATCAGAGTGGGTCACAAGCTAAAGATGACTCAACAGTGTAACGCTGTTGCAAAAAAAGCAAACATCATTCTGGGATGTATTAGCAGGAGTATTGTAAGCAAGACACGAGAAGTAATTCTTCCACTTTACTCCAAGCTGCTTAGGCCTCAACTGGAGTATTGTGTCCTGTTCTGGGCACTGGATTTCAGGAAAGACGTGGACAAATTGGAGAGAGGTCAGAGAAGAGCAACAAAAATGATTAAAGGTCTAGAAAACATGACCTATGAGGGAAGATTGAAAAAATTGGGTTTGTTTAGTCTGGAGAAGAGAAGACTGAGAGGGGACATGATAACAATTTTCAAATACATTACAGGTTGTTACAAGGAGGAGGGAGAAAAATTGTTCTTCTTAACCTCTGAGGATAGGACATGACTCAATGGGCTTAAATTGCAGCAAGGGCAGTTTAGGTTGGACATTAGGAAACACTTCCTAACTGTCAGAGTGGTTAAGCCCTGGAATAAATTGCCTAGGGAGGTTGTGGAATCTCCATCATTGTGGATCTTTAAGAGCAGGTTGGACAAACACCTCTCAGGAATTGTCTAGATAATACTTATTCCTGCCTTGAGTACAGGGGACTGGACTAGATGACCTCTCGAGGTCCCTTCCAGTTCTGATTCAATGATTCTGTGTCCAGGGTTTATGATAGTACTGTTGCATTAAAGTGCCACAGTGGCACTTCTAGTCTCTATTCCTAGTGCAGACTGCTCAGATATGCATGTTCAAGAACTAAACAAAACTTGTGCTCTGTTTAAAAAAAAAAATAAATAGTGAGGAATAATATGCAAGTGTCTCTATTTGCCTGATTTTGTTAATTTCTTTGGGAAAGACTTGGGACCTTGTCCCTTTATAGAACACTTCTTATAGATTAACCACATCTGCCAATTGCTAGATTACTTTAATTAATGAGACACCGATATGTGGCAGCCTTTAAAGGGTGTGCCTGTTGGAAATGTCACATCCAGCATCAAATGTGTAACACTGGCCTTTTGAGTACGACTGAGAGAACAAACTACAATTATGGTTGGGCTGTGTGTGAAAAATTGTGGGTAATATATAAAAGTCTCTGTTTCAGGAGTCCAAATTGTACCTCCAGTGATAACTATTTTATTGGAAATGAATTGAATAAGACATGATATCCAAAGCGCATGTGTTCAAAGGAGATATCAGATGAGCAAAAGTAACTTTTCTTTTGCTCTGTCTCTAATCTTTCAGAGCCTATGAATACAGTTTGGGTTTCTGAGGCTGAAATAAAACACAGAAATCTTACATATAACACTTTAACAAGTATTGCCATGCTGTTGTACAATGTTGCTATTTCTTATTGCAAGGAAGATAAAACTTGAATTGCAGCATAAAATCTGTGACTACTTGAGAACATGGGTTGAAAGTATTCAGTTTGAAACTTTCATTTCAGAAAGTCCACAGTAACGTCAAGCATAGACTGTTGTCATCCTTTGCACCAAGGGTCCTAAATGTAAGGATTATTTTTCCTTGTTTCAGGGTTTATAGTGCCGTTATGCACTCAGACTCCTGTGAATTTTCCTGAGTTCTTGGAGGACTGCTTTGCTTTTTGAATCAGAAAGTTACAAAATACAGTAAAGAATGGCACTTGTGGATAAACACAAAGTCAAACGACAGCGATTGGACAGAATTTGTGAAGGTAAGACTGAGCATAATCCAATATTTCTAATGAAACCTGCATAGATTCTTCAAAAGAAAGTAGAATTGCTGAACTATGGTTAGCACTGGTGTTTGTAAGTGAAACACCTGATCCTGTTTTGAAAGTGACCTGCAAATTATAAGACTTTGGTTTACTGGTCATCTCTTTTGCATTGCTTAGTAATTTATAGTGAAATGACACTCTTATCTGTAGTCTAGATGTTGCCATATCAAGATGTTGGCTCGGACTTTGCATTTACATTGCCTTACAGAGATGGTGCTGCTTTGTTAAAAGTGCTGTACTGTGAGCCCATGTGGAAGTTAATTATCCTAAATCCCAAATGGAAACGAGTAATGGGTAGCTCTTCCCAGCATTTCCTCACTAAGTCACACCAGTGCCGGTGCCCCAGACTATGTGAGAGAGATTGCTGGATGCAAAACAACTACCTCTCTTGTCCACACACTCATGGCAATGCCACACTATCTAGCTTAGCATTTTGTAATGCATTTTGAGCAATGTCAGTTATGATAGGCACTCTGAAACCAGTTTATGGTTTAAATGGCGGTTTAAACGACCAAGATTTTCTGGAGACACACTTACTCCTCCACTCCTCGGGCTACAATAAATTCAGCTCTTCAGCAACATTGACAATTTCTGTATGTGTTAACTGTGTTTGTTGTTGAAATGTAACTGAATGTATCGGACAGAATATTAGACAAACAGTTTTTCCTTCATTAGCAAATGTGTGATGCCAAGACAAATTTGTTTGTAGATACATTCTGTTTTCATAGTGTGTGTTTGAGTGCATTAGCCCAGGTAGGTTTTTCCTTTACTTTTCTGTGTTTTGTTCAGTGTAACAACAGAACGACAGCCAGTAGTTAATGTATCTCTGCTGCATCTTCAGATGGCATAAGCTACTTTTATTTACTTATGAGAAAAGTCAAGTGGTGCCAGACAACCTCAGACTTTCCAATGTGCTCGCTGATACTTCTCTGATGAGAGCTGGCGGCCATCTCATAAACATTTTACAAGCTTTAGCAAAAAAGGAACAAAGTGTCATTCAAGCAGCTGTAGCTTAAATCTTGTCTGCGGAGTGATTATCTATGTTTCAAGGGAGAATCTGTCCAGGTAGATGGTTTCAATTTTTATGAACAATGGCTTGTAGGGGCATACTTCAAAGTATTATGTTAAATGCTCCCAAATAAAATTCTGCTCTTGGATGTGGGCACACAACTCCCACCGAAGTTTTATGATGCCAAGAAACACCTTTTATAACAATTTTCAGCAGAACATATAAGACCCCTCAGGTTGCACAACTGAAGGCAAAACTGAGTCCCTACATGTTTTGCTCTAGTGGTTATGGACTATGTTTTTCTTGATACAGCAGTAATTAAATACAACTCCTTCACTATCATTTTAAGCTTTCCATGAATTATTTAACCATTAATTGTGTGGGGTGATCCTAGTGATCTCCTTGGATATACAACCCACACATGAAATACACGTTGTTACTGATATCCCTCAGGAAGTGGTATTATTCATCAGATAGGACTGCATTTCAAGCTCAATGCAGAGAGCACGAAATTGAAAAATGAGTTCTTCATTTAATCATGTAATATAGAAAAATGTAAAAGCCATTCCACCTGTCAGTTTAATTAACCCAATCAAAACTGGGTTAATCTGCCTTAACTCTGCTCCAGAGCATGTTGCCTTTGTCATACGGGGGGGTGTGGAGGCGGGAAAAGGGAGTCGGGAGGAAGTTGCCGACAGTGGCCGGAATATATGGCAGCAAAGAGTTACATATCTATCCATTTGAATGCCATAAACACTCAGGTGTAGTGTTCTATCTTATCTTTAAAAAATGACTTTGAACCTGACTTAAAAGACTTATATTGGCAGAGTTGGGATTTTCAAAAGCAGCCTTTCCAGTTTGATGTTTGCTATCAGATCTGGTTGCTGAGTGAACAAGAAACTCAAAAGGATCATAGGACGAACCTGCTAGCAGAACATTAGATATGATTGAAGTTTAGATTATTTTCCTCTGAACAACTGATTTGAGCTTTTTGTTCTTTCTTGGCTAAAATCATTTTCTAATATGTAAAAGTGCCATTTACATAACTTTTGAAAAAAGCACATTTGCCGTCCACTAACTTCATTTGTGATTTGAATTAAATTGATGGGATTTACTGTTGTGCAGCAACACGTTATGTTGTGTGTGACTTCCAAAATGTTGAAAGGTTACAGGTTAGGATTGGCTGTAACGACCATTGTAAAACTAATCCTGAAAAATAATTTTCCAGAGTCTTAGGCTATATCTACACTTAAAACATTATGGCAGCACAGCTGCAGCTGTGGTGCTATAGTGCTTCAATGTAGACATGCACTACAGTGACTTCTCCTGTGGCTGTCGTTAATCCACCTCCCCAAGAGGCGGTAGCTAGGTCAACAGAACTAGTGCTGTCTACACCAGGAGTTAGGTTGGCTTAACTACATCTCTCAGGGGAGTGGACTTTTCACACCCGCTGCCCAACGTAGTTCAGTCAATCAGTGGAGACCAGCCCGTAGGGTTGTAGGATTATCATACACCACATTGGCTTTGCTGAAGGCTATTTTTTTGTTGAAATATCTTTTATTGTGGTCAGGTTGGACTGTGGGGTAATAAATTCCTGAACACTGGCCATTCCAGCTGGAATGGAACAAAAAGCAGGCATTTTACTTTGCCTGATTTTGTCTTGGGGTCTTCAGATATTATACGGAATTATTGGTGTAGGGGAGGGTACAGTAGCAGACAAATGAAAGAAGTGGAAAAGCTTCCACAGGAGACATTTAGAGAGACAAACACCAGAATATCCCATGGCTCAGTAGTTTGGGCATGCTCCTCAGATGTGGGAGACCAGTATTCAAATCCCTTCTCCACCTGGGTCTCCCACATCCTACATAAGTGATCTAACCACCAGGCTAAAGGTTAGATGGAAGTTGCCACTGGTACCACCACCATCACCTGCTCCATCGGTCACTTTGTGAATCTAACCATGTTGAAAAAATCCATTCTGGTCAGACAAAATGTGGAAGCTTATCAGAACAACTTCCTAGAGTTACAAGCAGTTCAGAAAGTGGTTCTCTCTACTCTAGTCTTACCTGCCATGATGGATTTGGTTGCCATTCATGTGTAAAGCAACACTAGGACTTCCATGGCATACTGACACTTCCAGGCTGGAACAAGCAAATACAAGTTAAAATTCCTTAATGAAAAAAGGGGGAATTCTCTTGCTTCTGGGTCAGGAAGCTTTTTGTTTTGTTTGTTTACAGTAATGTTCATTGTGTGATAGGTGCTTACCAAGACCTCATTAAGGACAACTTCTGCTCTCAGGAGTTCACAACATAAGGCATTTAATGATTAAAACCTGCCTTGGGACTAATAAACAGTCTGTAGGTCAACTAAATAGATGGTTTTGTTTTTGTTTGTTTGTTTATTGTTAAGAAATAAATTCCTGTTTATGTCAGGAAATTTGTATCACAAATGGTCATTCAAAGAGAAACAATGTGTTAGAGATTATATCAAGTATGGATACATTTGCCAATACTGGGTAAAAATTACTCATTTAGAATAAAGAGGGAAGTAGTCTATTAGTACATTTGAGCTGGCTTTGTTTCATGAGTATAATTCATTGTAAAGAGGTTTTTTCCTCCCTCCCCAATAAAACTGTATTTGTTTTTCTTTTTGCCTGTCAAAAGACATAAAACAATCAGACTTTTTAGGAAGTGTAGCTTACCAAGTTTCTCCATGGGGAAAGAGAGAGAAATTAATGGAGGCAAATAAAAAGTTTTGCAGATCCTCAGCTGTTAAACTTATTTTATGTTGATTTACACCAATTGAGGTTCTGGCAAACTCCACTTAAAATTTTGGTTAATGATTGGTTCCTCCTGATTTGGTGCCCTGTTCCAGTATATCCATCCGAAGTTCACTGGTCTATTCATTACTTTCTAACGCACTCACATTTTTCACAAAGGCCTTTCCTTGAAGCTTATTACTCCCTGTGTTGTTGGTTTCAGAGTAGCAGCCGTGTTAGTCTGTATCCGCAAAAAGAAAAGGAGGACTTGTGGCACCTTTGAGACTAACAAATTTATTTGAGCATAAGCTTTTGTGAGCTACAGCTCACTTCGTCGGATGCATTCAGTGGAAAATACAGTGGGGAGATTTATATACACAGAGAACATGAAACAATGGGTGTTACCATACACACTGTAACGAGAGAGATCAGGTAAGGTGAGCTATTACCAGCAGGAGAGTGGGGGCAGTGGGGGACCTTTTGTAGTGATAATCAAGGTGGACCATTTCCAGCAGTTGACAAGAATGTCTGAGGAACGGTGGGGGGAGGTGGGTGGGCGAATAAACATGGAGAAATAGTTTTACTTTGTGTAATGACCCATCCACTCCCAGTCTTTATTCAAGCCTAAGTTAATTGTATACAGTTTGCACATTAATTCCAATTCAGCAGTTTCTCGTTGGAGTCTGTTTTTGAAGCTTTTTGTTGTCTGTAATCGAGTGACCAAAGAGATTGAAGTGTTCTCCGACTGGTTTTTGAATGTTATAATTCTTGACATCTGATTTGTGTCCATTTATTCTTTTACGTAGAGACTGTCCAGTTTGGCTAATGTATATGGCAGAGGGGCATTGCTGGCACATGATGGCATATATCACATTGGTAGATGTGCAGGTGAACGAGCCTCTGATAGCGTGGCTGATGTGATTAGGCCCTATGATGGTGTCCCCTGAATAGATATGTGGACAGAGTTGGCAACGGGCTTTGTTGCAAGCATAGGTTCCTGGGTTAATGATTCTGTTGTGTGGTGCATGGTTGCTCGTGAGTATTTGCTTCAGATTGGGGGGCTGTCTGTAAGCAAGGGCTGGCCTGTCTCCCAAGATCTGTGAGAGTGATGGGTCGTCCTTCAGGATAGGTTGTAGATCCTTGATGATACGTTGGAGAGGTTTTAGTTGG